GGGAAAGAGGAAATCAGGATAGTAGCAGAGACAGAAGGAAAGACAGAAGGAGGAAAAGAGGGCAGGATCTGTCAACTCATTGGATATGGAAAAAGTATTCAAAGACTTTGATCCAAGCTGACGGATTGAAGGATTACGCCCGAGAGAGAAATGTAGATGTTCTCCTGTCCCTTAACCCTCTCATCCTTACTTCATTTTGAGCATGGAGGGAAGATTCCTCATGAATCAGTCTGCAGTGTTCCTTGGAGATAGATCTGGGAGAGTCACTCAGGAGGGTCCAGGACAAAAAGGAAAGGTTTGCCCTTGTCCCGCTACAGACGAGCTTTATTCTGCTGAGGAGAAGAAATTTGAGCTGAATATATTTTTGGTTCGTACAAGTTGTAAGTGCTCTGTTTGATAGCAAGGTTGTTTGAATGGCCCATTTCATAACTACACATAGTTTTCCCAAATAAATGGTGTCTGTAGAATGTTCAGGTTAATGCATGAGTCCAGTGTTCAGGAGTGTTTGCACTTGGAGCGACTGAGCCTTCTTTCTTAATAAGTCATCTTGGCATTTTGTCAACAAGTTAATTTGCTTTTCTAAGAAACTAGATTAATACTTCCTGTACTTTGTGCTATTCACAGATCTACAGTGCAGTGAGAAGGGGAGAAGAAACAGAAGAGACAATTAGATCTCTTCTCCATTTCTTCACAAAGCTCCCAGCCTCCGAGACAGCCCATGAAAGGATTAGCATTGGTCCGTGCTTAAAGCAATGTGTCCAAGACACTGTTTGTGAGTATCGTGCCACCCTCCAAAGGACTTCCATATCTCAGTACATCACCGGTTCTCTCCTAGAAGCCACCACATCTTTAGGAGCAAGAAGTAGCCTTCTCAGTTCTTTTGGAGGATCCACCGGACGAACGATGCTGAAAGGTAATGTCTGAAATTTCACTTTTAACTTTTCATCTTTGAATGCAGAAAAGAATCTAAGTTAACATTTATTGCATCTCCTGATGGAAAATTGAGTCCACGTATCAGCAACTTTAAGAAAAGATAGCTGCTTTAAGAGAATATATAAAAAGATAGTCCTCTATCAAAATCCCTTAAGGTATGAACATTCCAAATAATAAGCATTAAGATATTGAAATTTCTTCTTCAAAAATGGCTAAAAGCCTATCTTTAATTTTTCTAAGTTATCCAGATAGGTGGTTTCTCCTAGTGGTATTCTATGACAGTTGTCAATTATTGTAAAAAAGCCTTGTAAACAAGTGTAGTCATGTGGCCACAGTGAAAACCAACCGTTTCATTCAAAACAGAGTGGAATATACTTCTCGTTTCTACACAGAATCAATAGGTTCATGTTGACCAGCAGAGCTAAGGGCCATCTTGCAGTGACCCTCATCTTAAAAGATAAGGTAGGGGTCCTGATGAAAACTGAAAGCCAATGGAAAATGGGATCAGAGCTTCCCAGCTGCTTCCCACAAGTAGCAGGAAGGCAAGTCAGAAATGGCAGTGCACCAAAGAACCTTGGAGATTTGTGCATTGCACAGCTGTCACCACCCGCTTGGCAGTCTTCCCTGGCAGGAAGCTGCCAGCCAGACGGGGACCACGCAGAGCAGCATTCCACTGCCTGGGGGCTGCCAAGAGCTCAATCTGACATCCGGCCACTTCTCTCAAGGAGAGCAGCTCTTGTCCCTCCACAGCAAGCCCCAGACCTGCGATTATCAGGCCAGTGGCCTCCCTCCTTGATCCTCAACCTCCCCACTCCCAACACCCCTTGGGCGGGCCCTAGAGGGGGTTCACACCTGAGTGGGTGCCATGTTGATTTTGTTTTCTAGAGTCACCTTCACTTTTGTGGATTGGTTATAAAGAATGAATGAGGAAAAACACAAAATGTGGGACAACTAATCCAAGAGACTAAAGAGGAGACACTTGGTTTCATATGTGTTTCATTCATTCAGCATATGTTTTTTGAGCCCCTGCTAGGTGCTGGGTAGGGAACAAAACATAGCCCCTGCCCCCAAGGAACCTGCAGTCTCTAGGTAGTAGGCAGTTTCCCCTATACATAGGATTCAAGATTTCCCTACTCCAATGCGGCTCCTGGTAACTGCCCAGCTTACATTCTCCATCAATGCTCTTCTTGGGAATTTGGGCTGAGATTAGCATGTAGAGTTGGCATAGCTTCGGTGCTTGTGACTCTATGTGAGGACCTTATCCTGTGAGTTAATCAAGCTGTGTTGATCAGATACCCACTCTGTGCCCAGCAGTGTGTAGGTGTTATGGGAGATCCTAATAAAGTACAAGTCAATTTACTCCCCTTTACGTTGTTTATGATCCTAATGAGGAGGCCACATTTGCATGCACCAAGTATTCAAAGAACAGACTGCAGAGAGTTAAATGCCAAATAATGTGGAAGTGGCTCTAAGTGTTCAAAGAGTTTGGAGACAGGGTTAATGTTCCATGTGACAAATGGCTTGGCCGCAAACAAACAGAAGTCCATAAAAGCCACTTTGTTTCTTCCCCATTAATTGCAGAAGGGCAGATCTCCAGGCTCCCCAACCAAGGCAGGCTGCCTCCAGTCTTACACAGGCCTTTGGGGAGAAAAAAGGAGGCCACTGGTTAAGGTGTCTGTTGCCCTGATAATAACTTGATCTCAATTGCTCTTTGCCTGTCTGTATTCAGATCAGAACTCCTATCAGCATTCCCATCTCTGAGACTGGTTGGATCATCAGCTAATATGTTATCTTTAAATGGGGGTTTTATGCAAGAGTTGGGAGTTTCTTTTACTTTCTGTTTTGCAGCTCTTTAATGGTTTCTGATATCCCTCTGTTAGTAGCTTCTGCTGAATAATACAATTAGCCAGTTGGCTTCAGCTCCAGGCTAATTTCTATAGCTCTGACTTGCTCTCTTGGAAACCTTTTTCAACTTCAGTGCCCACTCCCCTGGGGTTTTCAAAGTCTATATGTGCCACAGTGAAACATACATTTCTTTAACATGCAGTGAGAGATAATGTGTCAAAAAAAAAAAAAAAAAACCCACACATGGCTGTTCAAAGTCATGGAGTGTTTATGGAACCTATAGGTTCAGCATACTGACTAGTTGAGTTGAGCTCTGTTGGTCGTATACTCCAGCAGGGGGTCTAGAGGATATTCTTGGCTGCTGTGCAGTGCTTTTCTGCTTGTTTTATTGTTCACTGTGTGTCCTGTGGCACTGAGTAGGCCAACAACTTTCAGCTCTCTGTCACCAATGAAAATCTGTGGGAAGTGTGTAACACACTCAGTCGCCAGTTTATAAATGACTTGTATTCCAGAAGTTCATTTCTCAGGAGCTGTGTGGAACGTAGAATGCTCTCCTGGAGAAGCACTATTAAACGTTGTGATTTGGTTCCCAGACTCTAGTCCTCAAAAACCCCTTTAACCCATAACACAGTTGAAATCTACACACTTCCCATGGAACAAAGAGAAAAACACAATTATTAGTCAGCCTCCAGGAAAAGAGCAATACAAGTGAGTTAAAAGACATTTCTTGTTGAGGGGAAATAATTTTAATTAAGATGAGTAGAGTTAAATTGAAACTTTTGTGGAGCTTTTGTAAAGAACTTTGCGCCATTTCAGAGATTTTAGATGTTGGCATCTGTAGTTCTGTTGTTATGGTTAATTATCTTTTGAAACTCATATCTAACATGAAAGATTCAGAAAATTATTATCCCAGTAAGTTTTATTTCTTTTCTTTTAATGAGAGACTTATAAATGGAATGAAGAAGGGAAAAGGAAGGCAGGGCAGGGTTTATAATTTTTTTTCCCAGAGGGAAAGGATAAGAAAGAGGGTCAAAAAGAATGATTTCTTCCATGAGAGAGATCACATTTGAAGTGGATTAAATGGAGTTGGAAAAGGTAGAAAAAAAGGAGGAGGGCAAAAGACAAATGCTGTATGATTCCTTTTATATGGGGCACTTAGAATAATCAAAATCATAGAGACAAAGTAGCATTGTGGTTGCCAGGGGCTGGTGTGGGGTGGGTATGGATGGGGAGTTACTGTTAATGGGTACAGAGTTTCAGTTTTGCAAGATGAAAAGAGTTTTGGAGATGGATTGTGGTGATGGTGGCATAACATTATGAATGTACTCATTACCACTCAACTATATTAAAAATGGTAAGGATGCTGAAGTTTTTGTTATATGTGTTTTAACCACATACACACACACACACACAAAAGAAATGAAGAATTTAAAAAGGAGGAGGAACACGTTCTGTAGGTCTTTGGTGGCAGGTCCATTAAGATGTTAGAAAGAACCGAAAAAGAAAAAGAAATGTGGAGACAGCTTTTCACGTGACCTGCAGGTGCCCCAAGTCAACTTGTCTCCTAGAAGTGGTTATGATTACAAGATGAGGGTTGGAGCCGCCTATCGTAGGTGAGAATAGGAGGAGAAAATGTGCAACCCGTTCTTCGTTATTCACAGGGCATTCACAAGTCAGGAATTGGTAACTTAAGTGTTGATTAGTCAGAGTTCTGCAGCCTTGCAGCTTTACCACAGTCTACAGGATTCTGCTAACTCTTTGAAATCTCCATCAGCTTGCACACCTCCAGTGGTACAGGTGGCTCTAGAAAAACAGCCAACAGTCAGTGCATTCCTGGTTTTCTGCCTTCAGGACCAATGAGGATGGTCCATCTACTAAGTGGAAAGTTTGCCAAATAATGAGAAACGTTTTCTGATATGAAGCATCGAAAAGCAAGGGTATGCCCTTGATTACAAGGATGTACTGTCTCAAAATGGAAAATGGAAAGCTTACACCAGGGACTGTGTAAGGACTGTCAGGGACTTCCACTAGTTGAGTACAGTCAAGATCTTTCTACTTCCCATCTGGTTCCCCTTCTCTTCCTTCCCATTAACCTTGTTAGAATCCCAGGACCAACTCTGTATAGCAGTGGCAGCCAAAAGAATTATTAAGTTCAATAATCAGGAATACATTTTCTAAATCCACCTGCTTTTGTTTCTTTTTTTCCATTGTACTCCCTACTAAAAATTACAAAATCACAATAAAGTAAAAAGCGAGAGAAAAGAATAAGATAATTGATAGTAATGTAAAGCACTGAAATAGCAAAAGTAAAAAAAGTAGTGACAAGGGGAGGACTTTTCAATATAAGGAGGCTAAATGTTTTCAAATGTGCATATTGTATCAGCCAATATAATAAATTTAGTACATTAAACTCAATTTTTCCTTCTCAAATTGTTCCTAAGTAAGTCTGTAAATTAAAGGATTAAATATTTATGTATTACCAGGACAAAGCATAGTTACCCATATTTAAATTATGTAGTAGACAATGCTCATTTTTAACCAGTTTGGGTATGCGTATGTATAGAATAGCTATTAATAAATAAAGTTATCCGTCATATATAGACTATAAATAGAATGTCAGTATGAAAACAAAAACTGCCCTACAAATGTAATATTCTTATTTGAAAATGGGGGATACTCTGTTTCTGATAGAAAGGTCTAATAAATTTTCAACTTATTTTCTTCTACTGCAATAAGTATGTTCTATTTGTGTCTTCTTCTAAAGAAAATGCCTTTGAGTATAAAAATAAAACGTCCTAATAGGAATACACACACACACATTTGAAATATGTGCTTGTACCTTATAAATAATTTAGTTTATTAAGGCTGTCCTGGTTGACTTCCTCATAATCAAAACAATTACCCTTTACATGCCTACCAGGCAAGGGAAGGCATATCCATAGTTCTAATTCCAAGATTTAAGTGTATTTAAAGAAATCCTCTGACTTACGAGTTTTGTGACCTTGAAATTATTTCTTTGATGTTAAAGTATGCTTTAATGTAACTTGGGGTATGTTTTTGTGCCAGTTAATCAACTAAAAAGTGTTCATTCACTGCCCGCTATGGCCTAGGGCTGTGTCACCTCTGGGAAGAATG